TCGATAGTATAGTGGTGAGTATACCCGCTTGTCAAACAACTCGCGGGTGACCGGGGTTCAATTCCCCGTCGGAGAGTCTTTTGCATGTTTTTATTTTTTGCACTTTGACGCAGATGGATAGCCTGTCAGTGTCCCCAATATGTCACTTCATCGAAAAGCAAAATTAGCATATACTGCAGACGCGGTTTCACTGAATATGTTGGATGTGCTAGCTGTGGACGGGGATGAGGATAGGTTTTAAAGTACGGCAGATGCACATTCGATGTAGTGGACAAGTGTGTCAGTGCCCTCGTCCCTCGGGCATCCCCCCTCGCCAGGGGCTTCGCCCCTTGGACCCCAGCCTCCGGCGGCCACTGCATGGAGCTCTTGCCTCTGGCAGCCACTGCGTGGGGCCTCGCCTTTGGCGAGCACAGACTCACCATATGTACTCTACTGTCTTCAAAAAACAATGAAAAGCTGTTTTGACTATACTGTTAGGAACATGCTGAGAGATGATCAGTGATTGAGTACTCGTAACACTTCTTTGTAAACTACACTATCTGTTTGCTTGTTTTTCCTCTCCTTGCTTTGTTTTGACCAATACTCGTAAATTGTTCGCATTTGAAACCCGTGAAAGACCAACGTAAAGCTGCCCATGAGAGAAAGGAGAAGACTCTAAGTACAAACCCACATGTCCAACAGATTGTCCTTGCGCTTTATTCAGAGTTAAGGCAAACGCTAAGCGCACAGGGAATTGAAAGCGCCGGAATTGAAAAGGAAGCTGGTTTGATACTACACTGTCAATGTTGATTCGAGGAATGAGAACTGATTCGCCACTGTGTGCACCTGTAATGATGGTTGCTTCGATGACTTGCCGGAGAAGCTGAGTGACTATGAGGCGTGTGCCATTACACAGGCCAGCAGATGGATTGAGATTTCGCAGAAGAATGATGGGTGCACCGGTCTTGAGGTGTAAACGATGCGAAGGGAATCCAGAGATCTCCAGGGTATTCAGGTACTCAACAGAGAAGTGATTTCTGAGATCTCCCTCGTCATCTATAATTTGATCTGCACTATAATATACCCGATCTCCTGTGGATTCGAGCCACCGAATCAAGTGATCGTTGATGCCATCCTCATCCACATTCTTTGCTGCTAGAATCATATGAACCCGGAAGTATTCTTGAAGGAAGCTCAGAGCAGGGATATTTGGCAGAGAACCTAGTTGTCCGTAAATTGAGCGGAACAGACCATCTAGTCCTTCATGGGATGGAATAATAGACCCATCTGGTATCGTTAAGGCTCCACATCCATTGTCC